TGAAGTAAATTTCGTAAACACAAAAGTAGCCGACACGGTGGTTCTCAGGGGATTCCGTAGGGTCGGCTATTTGCGCCTCCGCTATAATTACAGGAGGAATTTGACAAAGCCCCTTCAATCGCTCAAGGGATTGAAGAGTACAGGTGGATTTGTAATGAGGACCGGCGATGTCGTTAGGACGAGTGCATTCGTCATTGCTAGAACGCCTCTCGTCGTAAGACGGAGATTCAGGTCTTTCAGAATCAGAAGACATCGAATAAAAATGAAAAATTCAAGATCCGGCGAAGGGAGGTTCAGTGAAGAAAAGTAGAGAGAAGTTTTGATTAAAGCACAAAAGTAAAAGAAGGAAGTAATGGTGAAAAGGAGTTACCTCACACAAACTAATGATGAAACCGCCTTGGAAGTTGTGTGGGAAGTGGGAAGGTTTTTCCCGTTTTAATAGTAATTAATCAATATACGGTCATAATGATGACAGATGTCACTTGGTTAAAAATGGCTAGTGCCGAAATTAAAGGAGTGATGAGATTTTCGGCGGGAAATCAGAAAGATTCTCGAGCGCAATCTTTGGCCACTTGAGCATTTAAAGTCCTCCGAATTGGAATAGCACTTCGAAGAACTTGGGGGGCTAATTGTTGGTGTCGGATCCCGCACCAGAAGTACGAGACCAACCAAAGATTGCCACGTAGTCAAGACAATGGCCCATAAAGGATGAAGCCCATTGGACCCGTGAGCCGAAGGGAGGGTCGAAGTGGTTGTCACCATTTCGAGAATCCGAAGTGACTGCATTGTGACACGAGTTCGGTGTAGAAGACACGGGTAAGTCGGTTCAAGGATACTTGGGCCAAAAAGGCGAGGCCCATGAAGATCATAGTCAACTCAAATTCAGACGTTGAGTATTAAAGTCGAAGAATCAAAACGGACACATTTAAGAAGGAATAATTGTACTTAATTATTCATTTTAATGTCGTTTCTCTATGTATAAATATAGAGGCCAATGGCCATGTAAAGGGGATCTTCCTCTCAAGAAAGAAACAATATAGCAACTTTCGTAACAATTTATAAGTTTTTACATATTCATTTTTGTCCCTCAAGAATAATCTTTCCTACTTAACAAAATACTTGAGTGTGTGAATCCGACATCCACAATGTCCTCCTCCTTTCGTAGACAATATGTCATCATTTAGTCTACATCTTATTCTCTTCCAGAAAACAATCTTATTAATGTCCACATCAATAAAAGTATTATACTGCAATTCAAAGTTTTCTTTGGGACAAGAAATATGTAGACAAACTAGTCACGAAGGATGGACAATTGACATCTGAACTTGTAGACAAATGACCTCACAACTTGCAATTTAAAATAATGTGGACATTATTGACATACTATGTATCACGTCGACATTTACTTCTTTTTGTCTTCAGTGCTATTACGCAATCCAAACAAAAACCGTCTTAAATAAGAGAAATAATCCAATACATAGTTTTTGGTTGAAACTGTTCCAACTTCAGACAAAACATTATAATCACACAACATTCCCGTCCATGTGAAATCTCCAAAAAACAATTCATCCCAAAAAAGGAAATCTCAACAAAATATCTCCACTAACAGCTTCAAATAAGGGTGGAGCATGTTTTCCGGTTGTGCCCAACTCCTCCACATCTCCCACATTTGGTCACTCTTTTTGTCTTCCCCTACATAGTTAAGATGGACATGTAAATACGTTTTCATATTTTGTCTACTAATTACTTGACATGTCCATCAAGTTTTCTTCATTTTCGTCTCTCGCGATTTCTCTAACATCAACACTAACAGATCCACAACTCTCTTTTTTTTTTCTTGAATAACGCATACTCCACATCGCTCTTTATCAACACCGGTGGCATTTTCGTTTGTGTAATCACCGTCGTTTCACCAGCGCACCAGAAACTCAAATCAATACTAGTTTCTTTCCTCTTAACTCCGAATACCCTTTCTACTTCCCCTTCCAGGTCTTTAAAACTTGAATCTTTTTTTCATAGCAACACATCGCGCCATTTCCCCATTACGCACAACGAATCTCCATTCCCCTGTGTCAGAACAGCTCCATTCCCCCAAAATCAATGTCACACTATCCTCCATACTTCACAAATAAACTCCTGCGCCAAAAAATTACAAAAACTCATCATCAAAACAAAGGCCAATGTCGATTTCTAGGGTTTATATACCCTTGTACCCATAAATGCATCACTAAATGCATGTGGAAATTGTTAGATTTTGTAAGACAAAAACTCAACCACCACCATTTATGACGGACCATACCTTCGTGCCAAATCTTGTCCACCACTATCTGTATTCAGCTCATTTGTCCACATAGAAAACCCAGACAATTTTGAACGGAATTCATTTCTCCATATTAGCAATCCTCTCAAAAAAAATCTATCTTCTCCGTTACTTTCTGGTAAAATCACACTCTTAACTTTTGTAGACATATTGGTTTAATTGCTCATTTTTAAGACATATCCATCAGTTCTTCACACACATTATGTGGCATTGTGCCCAATAAAAGCCAAACGGCTATCATAGTACATCAATAAATGCCAAACAGCACACGTCACATCAACCTGCAACGAGAATTTTTCACAAGGCAAGGGTATTTTCGTCTTCTATTATATTCTGAAAAGTGAATTTGTGGCACATTTAGAAACAAAATAGTTTTATGGCAATTTTACTAAGTTTTACGGCACCATATGGCACTCCAGACCAAATTCCCTAATTTCAAAACCTAATGCATACTGGAAGTTTTCATAAGCGAAATATTTGAAATTCAGTAGAAAATTATTAGTCAAATTTGATAGGTTTAATTAGTAATTACCTCTCCGTTACGACTTAAGAAGGAATTAAGTACATAATTTTAAAGTTCATCATGTTATATGGGTAACTTTGTAGATTACATAATTTTAAAGTTCATCGTATTATATATGCAAAGTTTCGACTGCCAAATTAAAGTAACCGTCGTTACCAATCGGGTCCTTTATCGAATACAATAAGTATGATATGTAATGAAAGATATTTGCTGAACATTAATTTCTCGGAAACCGCTTTTGACTGATTTGCACGTTTAGAAGAGCAATCAGACAATTGTAATTTCTTATACTAGTTAGTATCAATCAGTTTTCTAAAACAATATTAAGTCGATCTTCATCTAGAAGACGGTGTCCAGGACAGAACTTTGGGTCCTTTCTCAAGGTCCAAAATATTCACTCTGCTCTTACGTCACAAAATTCAAAGTGGTCATTTCAAGAATGCTAATAATCCACAAAGACACAACTTTAGTGGTTCTCAAGGATAGATTATGGTACACGTTAAGGTTCAAGGAAGATCTCACCGTCAACCAATGGACTATGATCTAAGACGCACTCCATTGAGGCTGCAGCTATCTAGTGTAGAGGCCGTTGCAGTATCCGTTATTGTATCTTACATCAGCCAAGCCATTAGGAGCTTTCTTGGAGGTTCCACTGACAAAAACGTTTTTCGGACCGTTACTAATCAGATGTTGATGAACAGAGGCTTGATTCATGACTGTGTCTAGCTCACCACAAGATGCTGCAATGAGTCCTGCAACAAAAAAAATAAAAATAAACAAAGATTGTTTAGAAGAATTGTGTTGATTCAAAAGAAGAGAGATATAAAGCTTGGAACTTTGTGATCGATGACAAATAGGCTCAGACCTATGAACAGAGAGGAGAAGCTTTCCCGGGTCTGGATTTGTACTCTGGGTGGAATTGAGCACCGATGAAGAAAGGATGGTTTGGAAGTTCAACAATCTGCAGTTTTAGTACAAGATTAGTCAAGGATTTGAGTTGACTTTGTAGCAAATAGATTGGATTAAAGAGACACATAGTTGTGAGGAGTAAAACTAAAACAAATTCTAAAACAGATCTTAGTAGGACGAATAAAGGAAGCCAGGCCAAGAAACGAAGCTACATAAGCGAGAAGGAGAGAGAATCTAAGAACCTCTGGCATGAATACGATGCATGTATGTTTAGTATCAGGTTTGAGCTCTGTGCTGTTTGCATAATTGCATCGTGCAAGCAGATAACTTCTCTGATCGTGCAAACTTGATGACAGCAACTTTCATTCCAAGCCAAATACCAAAACCTCCAGGTACAAGAACTCCATCTACACCCTGATGATATATAATACTAATAGAGATGAGGAAAAACATAAAGAAAGGCTTCTCGATGATTGAAGTTGTAAAATGCCAAACATTTCAAACCTTGAGCAACTTTCAAGCAGCTTTATACGCATTTGGATTCTACTTAAACGAAAAAGAAAGATATAAAAACTTGTGAACACAAGCAAATGCATACATGTGTAATCAACATGTCTCATGACCTCTTTCGCAGTTTCCTTTTCGAGATCACAAGCTGGAACCCAATCAACTTCGAGCTTTTTGCGACAAGCCACAGAAGCATGTAAGAGAGCCTAAACAAGTTATCCAAATGTAAGTTTACTGAGCCAAGGAACTCGTGATGTGTAAGTTGTACCTTCAAGACAGAGAGATAGGCATCAAAGAGGCCTGTAAATTGATTTTATTGTGTTAAGAAAGAGATATTGAGGTTACGGTTTATGGAGGAGTTATTGAAAGCTGAGACCCACCGGCACGTGTAAGATCAGCTCTTGAAGTCCATTCCTATAGAGAAGGTTCTTTAACCATACTGATTCAGAAACAACAGCTCACTTCCAATCCCTTTGACTCAAAAATCCAACCCAAGAAAACAAAGGACAAAACAAGATACCTAGCAAGATTGAGATTGAGAACCAACACGCATTTGCATCTACGATATGGGTTTGTTTCAAGTATTACCAGCTCTTTAACAAGAAGAACGCGAGACTGGCATCATTAGTTGGAATGTTCTGATGAGAAAACCTCTTTCTCTATCTAGAGATTAATCAACTTTGATCAATCAACAGAGGGGAATTTTCTTTATATTTTCATTTATCTTTGGCCAAAATCTGATAACAAACGAGTTTTCTACCATTTCATTAATAAGCAAACCATTTTACTTGGGGTAGGCATACATCATATTGATAGCTAATGCATATCACTCACAAAGCATATATAAAAAAACAGATTAATTTGAACCTTTGAAAGATCCTAGAGAAAAGACAGACTCTAGACTGAAACTCAATTCAAAACTTACTAGTCTATTTTTTGTGGTGGAATATAGTAAGGGGCCCCGAAAGCGGGTGTAAAAATTCCACCAAAATAGCGGTCTTTAGACAGATTGAAAATTCCAACTTCGTTGACGTCAAAAATATAGACTTTGTTACGGTCCATGCCCGGAAAGGAGCTACTAGGGACACAAAAAGGTTCAGACTTTGAGAGGAAAATGGAGAGATCTCCTATGTCTTGAGTGTAAACCGCATTTCCTTCTTCGTCTAGCTTGAACACCATTACAGCTTCTGTTTTCATTTTGGCAATACCGAAGACGATCTCGGCGGTCTTCTTGTACTGCTTAACCAAGAACGTTTCACCGGTGCATCTTGACTCCACCAAGTGTTCGCTCGTGCAACAACACGAACTCAAAACCTCGCGTGTGGTATTCTTCAGCTCGGGAAGATTTTGAAATTGCAACTTCTGAAGCTTGGGTGTGTGCTTGTGTTTGCGGAGATCCCATGATCCAATGATGTCGCCTCCAGATCCGAGTATGCAAAACATGTCATCTTTCTTGGAAAACATCACTCGGGAGGAGAAGAAGCAAGGGTTAGCGATTCTGATGTTGATCCACTCCGGGTTGCATTGAGCAGCGGGTCTGCAAAAGCTGAGTTGAGGTCCCAAGAACTTGACAGCCACAACACAGTCTTCTTCCTCCGGTGAAGGTGCGGACATGGACACGTTGGTGATGATTTGGGTTTGGCAATAAGGCAGAGTTACAAGAGGAGGCAGCGAGATGCGTTTTGGATCTGAATCCGATGCAACCGGGTTTAGATCATCTTGGAGACGCAGAATCCCATCGTATCTCAAAGTAGCTACCCAGCCATGAGATGACCCGATCGTTACCATTTCATTATAAGGATGATTATACACCAAATCCAAAGGCACCTTCTTATCTAAATAAGTCCATTTACGTTCATTGGCGTTGGCAATGATGAGTTTTCCGACATTTTCTTCACATTGTTTAGCGCCTATGATGTTACAAGGAGGGGTTTGCACCGAGGATGATGAAATGCCATTAGAGAGAAGAGGAGATGCTCTTACCAACACCGGCTTCCGAACACAGAGCTTGGGAGGGTGGCCGAGAAGCAGAGACATGAATGTGATCTTAGCCAAAAGCAATTGAAAAGAAAGAATGAAAACCCTAATTGAAGAATTGGTGATGTTCACTTCTTCTCCACCCAACCCTTCATTAATACAGAAGAAGCAACTTGGCCACCAAGTTTTCCACATCTGCAAATTCAATTATGGTCTCTACGATTATTTTTCTTTCCTTGAGTCCTTTTTCTTTCCTAAAGTCCTTAATTTTTTTTAGAAAGACAATTCTCATTAACTTCCAACTTTTTTTTTTTTTTTTGTTTTCAAGGATTTTGAATTGTGTTATCAAAGTGAAATCATATCCTAGTGTCAGTTAAGTTTTCTTTTAATCAAAAGTAGGTAAATACCCGTGCTATGCCGCGGGATTTTTTTTTTTTTTGGTTATCTTTTTTCTTCTTTTTTTAACGATAAATGTTGAAAAAAATGAAATAAACTCTTAAAAAATGATATAATTCATGATTCCATTACATTTAACATTTAATTGATAAAATATGTTGGAAGATATTCATGGTTCAATAGATTCTAAATTATAAATGATACAATTTAAGATAAAATTTAATGTTTTTTTTTTTATAAAAGTCATATTACAGAAACAAGAAATTAAAAAATCTGTCACAATCTCAAAATAAATGATATAAGGATAAGATAATAAACTGATTTTGGTTATATTAACGTAAGTCTTGTCATTATTACACCAATCCTATAAGGATATATGTGTTAAAGCCTTACTATAAAAGATTTATTTTTCCAAACTATTGAAAGTTTGAAACACAGAAGCAAAACATCTACTCCCTCCGTTTCAGTTTAGTTGTCGTATTAGGATTTAAATTTTGTTTCATAATAGTTGTCGTTTTAGGTTTTCAATGCAAATGTTTGGTGAAAATTCCAGTTTTATCCCTACTGTTTTAATGTTTTGGCCAATGAATTTTTTTTTAAAATATATTAATAAAGGGTAAAACAGAAAATTAAATGTTTTTTTTAATTTGTGTGAAAAAATCTTAAACGACAACTAAAACGAAACGGAGGGAGTACATAAATATAAATCTAATTCCTCTTCTTCACCTTGTCTTTAAGAGACAAGCTCTGTTTCTTTCATCTCCTCCATCACCAACACCAAACACAACTTCTAAGACAAGGTGAAGAAGATGAGTGACCTCCAAGCAAAAAAAGATGTGGCGGTTGGGGATAGACAGTCTTCTTCCTCGTCGATGGTTCTTGATGGGCCATCGCCGCTAAGAAAGATGATATCGGTGGCTTCTATCGCCGCCGGTATTCAGTTTGGTTGGGCTCTTCAGCTATCTCTGCTAACTCCATACGTTCAGCTTCTCGGAGTCCCACATAAATGGTCATCTTTCATATGGCTCTGTCTCTGTGGTCCTATCTCCGGCTTGCTTGTCCAGCCATCCGTTGGTTACTTCAGCGACAGATGCAAGTCAAGATTCGGTCGTCGTCGTCCTTTCATCGCCACGAGTGCCTTGCTTGTCGCCCTTGCTGTTATACTAATCGGATTCGCGGCTGATTTCGGGCACACCATGGGAGACAAACTCGACGAAGCTGTCAAGATGCGAGCCGTTGGTTTCTTCGTTGTCGGTTTCTGGATCCTTGACGTGGCTAACAACACTCTTCAAGGACCTTGTCGCGCTTTTCTTGGTGATTTAGCAGCTGGAGACGCTAAGAAAACGCGAACAGCAAACGCAATTTTCTCTTTTTTCATGGCCGTTGGAAACGTTTTGGGATACGCTGCAGGATCGTACACTAACCTCCACAAGATCTTCCCTTTCACGGTGACTAAAGCATACGACATCTATTGCGCAAATCTCAAGAGCTGTTTCATCATTTCCATCACTCTCCTTCTAGTCGTCACCATCATAGCTCTTTGGTACGTGGAAGACAAGCAATGGTCGCCAAAGGCAGACTCTGAGAATGATAAAACTCCGTTCTTCGGCGAGATCTTTGGAGCTTTCAAGGTGATGAAACGTCCAATGTGGATGCTATTAATCGTCACGGCCTTGAACTGGATCGCGTGGTTCCCTTTTCTTTTATACGATACAGATTGGGTGGGTGGTGAAGTGTACGGTGGAGACTCAAAAGGAGATGACAAAATGAAGAAACTATACAACCAAGGAATTCAAGTTGGTTCGTTGGGATTGATGCTTAACTCTATCGTTCTTGGATTCATGTCGCTCGGTATTGAAGGGATTAGTAAGAAAATGGGAGGAGCTAAAAGGCTTTGGGGAGCTGTGAATATCATCCTTGCCGTGTGTTTGGCAATGACGGTTTTGATTACTAAAAAGGAGGAGGAGCACCGGAGAATCGCCGGTCCGATGGCCCTTCCTACCGATGGCATCAGAGCTGGAGCATTAACTCTCTTTGCTCTTCTTGGAATTCCTCTTGCTGTAAGTCCAACATGTCTTTTATCCAATTTTTGTTGCTATTATTATCCATGGTTTATTATTTGTTAACAATAATAATCACAAATTTTGGTATTTTTTTATAGATTACATTCAGTATTCCGTTTGCACTAGCTTCCATAATCTCAAGCAGCTCCGGCGCCGGTCAAGGTATCTTAACCTCTCTTTTTTCTTAATATTATTAAGACCTCTACTAACTTAATTAGATTGATTAATTGATATTTTTACGGAATTAGTTTTCATTCACCATAAAGAATTTGCCATAATTGTATCAATAAAAAAACAGTAACAATTTTGTGTAACATAAATATTAAACTATCAAATTAATATGGATGTGTTCTTTTTATTGTCATCTCTGCTGGACTATCTCTAGGAGTTTTAAACATGGCAATAGTGATTCCACAAATGATTGTATCGTTTGGAGTTGGTCCTATTGATGCATTATTTGGAGGTGGAAACTTACCAGGATTTGTTGTTGGAGCTATTGCAGCGGCAATCAGCAGTGTTGTGGCATTTACTGTTTTGCCTTAATCTTTTCATTTTATTTGTTATATATACACAGTGGAGGAGCTAGAAATTTTGTTTATATATATATATATATATATATATATATATATATATATATATAATTAATTTTTGTTAAATTGTTCTATATATATATAACTTAAATATTTCATCAACTAATATATATATAACAAAAATATTTTTTCAATTTTAAAATTAAGAATACTCACATTCCTCCTTTATTAGTTCTATCAAATTTTTTCTTATCATTGAAATATTTTTGTCAAAATATATAATATAGATTGTGGAGATGGATTAGTTTGTTGTGTTTATCTTGTTCATAACCTTTAGAAAAAATATATTTTAAGAAAAATTGAAAAGAATGTAGGAAAATAAAGGAAATGTCTAAAAACAAGAAAAAAATTGATATGTAAATGACTATTACAGATCTTTTATTATAAAAAGAATTTATAGATTTTTAGCCAAACAAAAATGGAACGGACATTAAGATTAAGTGACAAAATAAATATGCATGGGTAAAAAACAAGAATTGATTACATGACATAGGGGTCATTATTGTGAATACTTTAAGGGAGATTGACACAAATAGCCCCAAAAAACTTGTTTTTTCCAAAAATAGCACCTCATTTGAAAAGTTCCACAAATAGCACCATAAACTTCAATTAAACTTAATGAAAATATAAGATAGAAAATAAAAAAGAGAGCAAACACTAATCTAATATTAAATTGAATCAAAATTGTTTTTAAATAGTAGAAATATATACCCTAATTTGGAAATAGGGAACCCAAATATAATACTACAAACTAATATTAAAATAAAAAATCTCTTTTAAATGGTAAAAATATATACTCTAAATTGGAAATAGGAAACCCAAATATAATACCATAAACTAATATTAAAATGAATCAAAATCTCTTTTAAATGGTGGAAATATATACCCTAAATTGGAAATAGAGAACCCAAATATAATATTTTAAATTTATTTCTAATTTATTTTGTTGAATAGCTTTTATATAAAAGTTGTGATATTATTGAAAAAAAAAAGCTAGTGATAAAATTTTTAGAACAAAAACACTAATAGTAAGTTAACTAGTGCTATTTTTGGAAGTTTATGGAGTGTGTGCTATTATTGTCAATAAAACTTGTTTTAGGGCCATTTTTAGGAATTTCTCATACTTTGAACCAAAACATTTAATTCTTAGGAAACTAACCCTATAATTAAAAAATATAAAAATGTTATGGGGATCAATTAAAAATAGGGGTGTCAAAATGGGTTAATACCCATGAGTAACCCGAACCCGCCCATGATTTTAGTGGGTTTGGGTAGAATTTTTTTACCCATATATATAAATGGGTTTTAGTGGGTTACTCTATTAGGGTTATGGGTTTAATGGGTAAAACCCATTAGGGTCATGGGTTACCCATGGGTTTCATAACCAAAATTAAAAAGTAAAATTTATATATATCTATATTAATATATTATGTAAAATTTATATAAATATATGTAAAATATCTTCTTTTCTTTACAACTATATATGTAAAATATCTACAATAACTATTAAAGTTTACATTTTACCTAAAAATAAAAGTAAAAAGTAAAATCCGATTCGGATGCATCTAAAGAAGATTCAAATGTTCTTTAAATTAAGACTATTTTTTCTTTTTTTATTTGGTTTTATGGTTCTTTGGATTTGTGGTTTTAAGATTTTAGGATGCTTTTCTATTTTAATATCTAGATTTTTTTAATTTATTATTTAAAAACTTTTGTTGGTTTACAATTTTATGTTATTTTTTTGGATTTTTATTATTTATATATTTTATTATACATATATATGGGTTCCCATATAACCCATTAAGCCAATGGATTTCTACAATAATGGGTTTGGGTATGTAAATTCAACCCATATAAATATATGGGTCGGGTTAAACCCGTCCATTAAACACTCGAACCCATATGGGTTTGGGTCGGGTCGGGTCGGGTTACCCATTTTGACACCCCTAATTAAAAAATTACTAATTATATAAAATAGTCTATTTTATTGAAAAACGGCATATTCTCCCACAAACTAAGTTGTTTTGGCTAATTCATCCCCGCAACTTTGTCGTGTTCCTAAACGCACATGAACTAATATAGAATTTGAATATCCTACATGAACAAAAAAAATCTGTACTAACCCCACAAATCGCTAAACGATGTTAATGTTCCATTAATGACCAGCTGACTAGGATGCCACATTATCAATCTTAACGTCTACGTTTTGAGCAGATCTGTAGAATGCACACTCGAGATTTGTACTTAGGTTTTATGAGAAAGAGGGCTAGATCTTTAATGAAAATTTGATAGCTGAATTGCTAAGAACGAATAAAATTTTTATGCTTAATGAGATGAATACAAACTAGATCTTGTCAATACAAGTGCGTAAAGTAGTTGTGAGTTTGTCAGTAAGTAGGTGCCTTCTCTAGGCCTTTTCTCGTCTTTATATAGGTATTCTTCCTACGTTATTCGGTACGAAGTCAACGTTTACCTCTCCAACATCTCAAGTTCCTCGCCTAACTTAGTCCTGATTTGCAGGCAGCTCCGTTTCTCTTTACTTTGGACTGATGAGCCTAATGTAGCTCCCACTTGTTATTTTCGTTGGTGGATTCGAAGATGCTGAATTCAGATCCAACAAAACATGTTCATGCAAACAATATAATCTGAAACATAACATCATATTATTCCAAAATAACATTATAATTCGAGAATTAATCAAAAATTATACCATAATCTTAGAATTAATCGAATATTACATCATAATCCAAGTACACATCCGTAAATACATCCAAACTCCTAGAATTTATACCCTAAAACACCCTTAGTCCAAGCAACTGTCCATTCAATTTGTTTTTTCACATTCATCAATTTAGTCTGGATTTGTTTTGTTCATGTAGAAAATTCAAACTCTATGTTAGTTCATGTGGATTTAGGCACAAAATAAAAGTATAGGGGTGAATTAGCCAAAGCAACTTAGTTTGTGGAGGAATAAGCCTTTTTCCCCTCAAAACGCAGTCGTTTAGATCGATGATGTGGCATCCCAGTCAGTTGTTCGTTGATGGAACAATAACGGTGTTTAACGATTTGTGGTTTTAGTCTGGATTTATTTTGTTCATGTAGAAAAGTCCAATTCTATGCTAGTTCATGTGGATTTAGGTATGAGACAAAGTTTAAGGGATGAATTAGGCCAAACAACTTTGTTTGTGGGGGAATAGGCCGTTTTTCTAAAATCGTAAACTCTAAACTCCAAACCATTTACTATAATGAAATGGTCATTTTTGTAAAAATACTATAAAAATTTCCAACGATTTCAATAACTCTGTGATATATCATGGATTTTACCGTTTTTAGCCATGATATATGTATTCTTTTTAGAGTCTTTTTGTTGTTTCTAGTGTCTTTTTGAGTCTTTTCAGGTTTATACACGTTCGGGACTAATTTGGAGATTTTGGATCATTTGGGAGCTAAACCGGAGATTTAGAGCTTAAAGAACGATTTCGGTATCAGATCAAGGCATGAGTGTCGACCGACACCCCTTGGTGTCGCTCGACACCACACGCGGCCCAGCAAAAGTCTCGACGGTTTAAGAGTTTTAAAGCCCGAAAAATCAACCCAGAAGACATCCCTATTTGCAACTTTAGTCCCTGCACGTTTTGGAGACTTTATAAATAGTTTTTAGGGTTTTTCTTTAGAAATCTATCAATCTTTTATTCTATTGTAATTATTGGGAGCTTGAACCCTTTGGGAGATAATTGGAGAGAGCTCCTCCAGAGAAGATCTTTCTTAACTCATCTCTTTTATTGAATTTCTTTATGCTTTCTATTCATAACATGTTGTTTGTTTCAATCTCCATGTCTGAGTAGTTTGCTTGTTAGGTTTAAGGATTCTCATTAGGGATTTAGATGAATTAGTAGATCGATAACCTGTTAGGATAATATCTTTAGAGTTCTTCATCTAGATTGTTCTTAATGCTAATTCTAGCTTGATCACCTAGAATTTGATCATAGGATAATAGGTAGATTCGAGAGGGCATCTATACTGGAACTATCTTAGGTGGGCATAAATTACTAGATTCATACGAGAGGTGGTTTAGGAATATCTGTGAACATATCAAACCTGCTATTAATGCTAGTCTAATTCTAGGAGTTTACATTCGAGAGGTGGAACTTCCTGATATTAGATTTAGTTAGTCAATACATTCGAGAGGTGGTTGGTTATACATTAGTGTTTTGAGTTCTAGAACGGTTCGTTAATAATCCTAATTAAATTGCTAGATCTACTATTTATTTATTTCTTGAGAAATCTCTAAGCCTAACGTTTTCCTCATCTGATTTAAAACCCGATTTTACTTGCTTTCTTTATTTTTAATATTCTTATTTTCTGTTTAGCTTAATTCAAAACATGTTAGTCTATTGTGTGAACACGAGAGCTTTGTGGAATTCGACCCTAAAGTGCTACACAACGATCTCTTATTTGAGAGAGTAGTCTTAGGTCTTAATTTGACTCACATCACTCTGCCATATAAAAACTGCTATCAATTAACATAAACAAATCTGCCAAGGAAAAGTCTGCAGGCACTAAAAGATTATTCTAGTAAGAAATAAGTCTATGATATGATCATGGGAAACAATAATGACAAGAAGAGAAAGCAAAAGCACAATTTTAACAACTCAAAAATGGACTTATTGAACTAATTTATGAAGTTCTGGACATGGAGAACATTCAAAAATTCATCTATGTTGTTAACTATAAGTCCAGTCTATTTTGATAATGTTATAAGTCCAAGAAGAGCCCAAAATAATGACTTTATTTGCAGCCCAAAAGGAGTGACGAAAATGGAGTTCAAGAATCATATTTGAAGTATCACATTTGAAGTTCAAGAGTTTTTCAACTCTCTTTTTTATTTTTAAGTTTTTAACAATAATACTTGGCTTTGTTTCCAAGTTTTTTTTTTTGTTTTAAATGGGAAAATGGGTAAAAAAAACCTGAGGTTTCTTAAAAACAGAAAAAAGAACCTGACCTTAAGAAATTGTGGGAAACGACTCTTGAGGTTAACTGATGCAAAAGACGTTAACAAGGCAAAACGTCACGTTTTGGTAAACAAGAAAACTACAGTGACAAAGATAGAAACATATTCGAATTTCATGACCCATGAGCAACAGATAAAACTTGCATCTAGAGGTGCTAATGGAGATGAAACAAACGTAAAGCATGGTTCCTTACATACGCATATGTCTCTGGTGGTTCTAAAATTGCTTACTGATTTTCAGGTTCATCACTCATCATGCTTCAGCTAGTGTAATTAAAATCAGAATGAAATACCATTAAGCAAAAGGACATAAACAATGAGATTGAAAAATGTCTAACTGAACAAAGGGACATAAACAATGAGACCCGACTCATCACCAAAATCATCACATAAGTGCATTGGAGAAGAATAATACTTTCTTTTTATTTTTGAAACCCTTTCAAAATGATTCTCACTTTTTTTCCTTCGGAAACTTATCGATTTCTTGGTGTGTTCATCCAAGCGATCAACCCATGGTGCGTATATCCATGGTTAAGCTTATCAAGTGATTTCCACCATCACCATTTGTGGCGCCATTCACTGCCAAGATCTGTAGTTGGCGTTATAAGATAACTTTTCAACAAAAAGATAAGAGGAGACTTGAATAAACAAACTGGTCATATTGGCTATTGCTCATGGCTCGAGCAATTGGAATTGTCTATATAATCGATGATGATAAAATGGTATGAAAAATATCTCTTATATATAAAGACCAATTAAATTGCATGGAAATTTACATGATAGACTTAAAATTGCATTGATGATAATACTTCACTTTGGTCATAAAATTTGAGTTACTTTTATCAAAACTCAAAGTGTGGAAATATTATTAGTGTCAAAACACTATGTATAGATATAACAATCATTTTTACCAACACCACTCTCACTTTATTCAACCCATTTTGTTTTGGATACCCTAGTTACCTTTAGTTTTAATGCATCCATTCAATAAATTTTAGTTATTTTTTAATATGTTATATTTGAATTTATTTTGTATATTATGTTTTACAAGTACACTCAGGGTTTAAATTAAATTTTTCTTAAGTCAAATAAATTTTAATGATATTTAAAAATACATATTTATATAAACTGATAAATTGTGAAACTATTTAGAAGGACAAATTATTTGGTGCACCTATTTATATTTTAGGTTATCTTTTGAACTTAAGACAAAGAAATATTTACTATAATATCAAAAATAAATAAATATTTATAAACTGAAATTAAACTTGCATGTTGGAAAAAAAAATTTATCTATAAATTTAACTATTATTGGTATGTAAAGAAAAAATTATTTTTTTTCTCCTTTTATTTAATTAGTGTTAATTACCAGTTACATTCTAAATATAAAAAGAGAGAGAAAAAAAAAGAAGATAAATCATTTATTCTCGGTTTTAGTCTAAAACGACGTTATTGCCACGTGTATTTCATGTCATCACTATTTCACGGCACCGTAACAATGTTAGTCGGTATGTATGACTTAGCGCAAAAACAAAAAAATCAGGTATTAAATTCAAAAATTTATAAAGTGAAGGTATGATTTAGCAAGGTCAAATAGTCGGGAATGAATTGAACATAGTAAAACTGTGGGGGTATGATTTAGCCGATTTTCTCGGGAAGGATTTATCTTGTTTTTTTCATCCCACAACCTAAATGGTAGAAAATTTCGGAACCGTTTCACATTATGTCACTTTCGTGAGTGTCATTTTATTTTATATTTTATGTGCTGATCACAAAAGACAGGCGGACCCAGGCCAAGGACCATCACACGACCGAAAAAGACAGAAAGATGAAATCGGAAAGTCGTCATTTTTGTTACAAATCTATTGCACATGTTATTATTTCGTGAATTCGTGATGTTTCTAAAAGAACCATTAAACTCACTCTGATATGTTCCTTTTGTGTAGGCCCATGAAATGTTGCGCAACCTATATTTGACTTCTTGTTATATAGCCAAATTCAAGTGGATAAGATGTCATGTTGTAGAAATTGGATTTGTAACTCCGGGAAGTAACGAATGTGAACTTGGATAATGATTGAATCGCGCACGTGAGCACTTTCCTTAAAGAGTATTTCGACCCTTATCAAGCCTTGGGTTACACGAAATCCCTTGTAGGATAAGACAATCAAAGTTCTCTCTTGTTCTAGGCTAAGATTCAAGAGAAACAAATAGAGATTATGTGTTTTGTTTATGTGTTTATCACCAAAGATTCTTTCAATCTTTGATCTTGTGAAACTCTCGTGCTCTGTGTTTTTCTATCTGTTTGACACAAGAGAAACCGAGTTTTATAGTGATCAACGGTCTTCACGTACGTTTGCAACCGTACATTTAATATAATAACCGTTTGTACCAAAAGGTGCGATGGTTGGTGAATAACCGTCGATGTACGTACACTAACCGTCGATGTACGTACAGTTAAATATCCAACATTCGTGAATAACCGACGATGTACGTACACTTCAATATCACGTACACTTAAATATCCAACATGTCGATCGTATGCACAAATAGTCGGGCTAGCTTTTTCATCTTCAAAATTATATTGTTTAGTAAGTTGGTAAATGTAAATGTATAACCAGATGCAGATAATTCTACTGGAAAAATAGCGTAAAGTAATTCCAAATTTTATAGAATTAAGTGTTAATTGGTACAAATAAATAATTAAAAAATGTTTCGAATTTAAAAGAATGTATGGGTTTCGGCTAAAAACTTGTTTATTATGAAAAATAAAAAAATGTAAGTGTGAATGTAATTGAGCATTATAGCCAAAAAAAATTCTTTTCCGGAATTCAAATTTTTTATTAGATTGTCTTGTCTTCAATTCAACTCGAGATCTCATCAAACATTAGCGACGAAAAATATGGTGTTAGTGGACCAGGTTTGAGGTTACTTTAATTTCCTGATTTCATTCATAAACGAATGATGCGATAAAAAAAATTTAGTTTCTTGACATATAGATGACCATCAGAGGACCGATATAGACAAGAAAAGGTACATAGATGATAGGGTAAATCAAATCAACAAATGTTCCCATTTTGTGATACCTCTAAAAGAGGCATGATCTTTTCATATACAATCTGATTGGGTCCTTAAAAAGCTACGCAACCATATGTTGACTTGTTGTCGTAGGCAAATTGAAGTGGATAAGCCTTGATTTTATTTTATTTTCTGTAACTTTCGTTGTATTTAGTTCCTTGTTTACTTTAATTTACAACAAGGTTTTAGAATGGTAACCGTTGTAGAAGTCTTGAATTCTTGATACATATGATATATTCAAAGTTTTTATTTGGAAAAAGGTTTTATTTGATAAACGAATACAATATTCATTTAAAATCTTAAGATATTTGGAAATAATAATTTTTTTTTTATTCTAATTATTTGTGGGAATTTTTTTAGAAAAAGTCTTAACTTTACATTTTCGGTGAAAACACCTCTAATTTTTATCCGGTGAAATAAATAACCAACTTCTATCGACTTCTCCAATACATCGTAAAGTTTTGTTGACTTTGCCAATTTAGGGACAACATAAAGTGATGAAACGGAACAAACAAATCATGTTTCGATTCTGTTAATGAGCTTTCATTTATAAGCAAAATGATGTTATATAAAATAGTACAAAGTCCCCAACCACATCGATTTATATTCCTCCAAAAGTTCCAAATAAAAATTCTAGATTTATTTTTATACTACGTTGTTTTGCTAATTAATGGAACCTTAATAATGAAAACATAACCTCGTTTATTGAGACTTTATGATGTGCCTAAATTAGTAAATTCAACAAGAATAGAAGATTTAATAAAAAAAAATTAACAAGAAACTAGTTATTTATTTCACCAGATACAAAACTTGAGGGTTTTTTCTCAACGGAAATGCATTTGATACTTTTGTGATTTTTTCCCGATTATTTTCTCACTCTCAAAATTTTGAAAGATTCAAAATGATCCATGATTTTCCCAAATACAAACTATTTCTCTTCAAAAAGAAAAAAAAAACAAATACAAACGATTTCTAAGCAAAGGAATTGTGTCTCGACATGGAAAAGACCGTTTTAGATGGTTATCAATCAGAGATATCAATCCACTCGCCATAAAATTGTAGTGAACCTATGAATGAATATTGGGTAGATAAATAAGTTTCTTCTCCAGCGATTTGTTAACAAATGTTTAATGCCTTTACTAATATTGATTGTATCAAAAATATTATTAATGAAACAAAATTTTGTAATAGTTAGTTAAATATGAAAAATAAAACTCACTTAAACTCAATGATACATGCAAGAATCCTCGAGAAACGTTATCGATAAACTTTCGTCATATTCAAATCTTGGATTTTGATTGTTAATTTTTTTTTGTCATTTTTATCAAGATCCAAAAAAATAATTCTTGCATATGATGCTGTCTTACATAAGCTTTTTTATCAATATCAAGATGATGTAGAAGCTAAATCGATATTTATTGAAGAAAATGGAAAGATGCTACTAATATCATAATGAATACCATATCATCACAAATGTTTTCTATTACAATATATTAACCTTGTTACGTTGGCTTGAAAATGCTTAGAACAATAGCTTCTTGCAACAACAACAAAAAAAGGCGGTAAATATGAATCTCCCCCATGGGAACATTATTAAAAAAGTTGATAGATTTATTGTTCAAAAACTTGGAAAGGATTCTAATCAAGATTAGCAATCTTGTCAAAAAAACATCAGGTCTTCCAATGAAAATGGAGGAAATTGAGTAGCCCAAAATTGGTCATCATCCACCAAAAAATCATTAATATCACCCTCTTGGTTCATGATATGGTCTGTGGCTTCGTCCTCCATGGTAATTTCTTGTTCCTCAATCGTTGCGAGTTGAGGCATAACCGATTTCGATACAACTTGGTCGAATTTTATCATTTCAGAACCGTATGTATCATCATGAACTGCAAAATCTTTACACACATGCTTTCCCACATAAGTGGTTCTGTAAACTGGAGGACTGTCTTGGATCATCTGCACCCGCTTTTTAGCATTGCAGTTTTGGTCTTTTGCATAGGCACATATATACAGAGCCGGCTCTAACATTTTGAAGGCCACAAGCTTAGAAAAAAAGAGAGGCCTAATTTCTTCTCAAAAAAATTGTTAAAAGCATTACAGCAAGTGTGAGACTCGAACCCTCAACCTTGCACTTCTTTCTGGCCAGCATTTAACCAGTTGAGCTATAAGAGAATTTTAGAAAAAAGAGGGCCGATATATTAATAACTACATCTGGGGCCACAAGCACATGCCTCCCTAGCTTGTGGCTAGGGCCGGCTCTGCATATATAGTACGACCTGAAAATACCGCACTTGAAGTTATCGCCACTTGAAATAAATAAAAGAGAGCTCTGCTATTTACATGTCTTTCATAGAACAGAGGAAACATTCACTTTGTTTTTGTAAGAACAGAGGATTGGCTCTGTTTTACTAGGTATGTAATTAACTAACCTTTGGTGCGGAGAGGTTTTGATGGTTTTTTGTCCATATTTCCTCCAGGTGAAGCCATCATCCCGTGGAGTCGGGGATTCGTCTCTGTAAAACACTAAACCTTCTGCTCCATAATTTTTTCTACAATGATGTATTAGCGCAATGATTAAAAATATAGAAGACATAATTGCATATCAAACATTATACGAGACGTAAATTAACAAGAAAAAACAAATGCTACTTCACTTGATTTTGAGTTAAAAACTCATGAACTTTGTATATAACATATGCAATGAGTATTTAGCTTTTCGTTGGTGACTTACTTCTTTGATGGTCTCTGGGGAACATGACTTGTCATGTTTTGTAGAGAAGACTCATTGTGTGGTAGATGATTAGGAGAATCCACAAAAGAGAGAGCAAGTGAGAAAGAATTGAGAATGGTGTTGATGAGCTGCTCGGTTGAAACTGAGCTTGATTTGTTGTTTTGGAGGAGCGTCTTGAGACTGTTAGCGCATCCTTGGCCACGGAGGAGTACAGCTACAGCCTTTTGAGCGATGTTGGAGGACATTTTTTTTGTGTTTGAATTTGGTTAGTTTGATGAATGAGAGATGGTAAAGGCTTTAAAGGAATGAGAGATGGAGAGTTTCTAGAAGTTGGAGTTTTTAATCTTCTTCTTTTTGTTTAGTGGATATAAAGAAAGTCTACTAAACTTACTATGATACTATATTACTATCTATGTCTCTTTCAATAAAGTAAGCAGAGCCGTGTTCGTTGATCAATTTACAGAATATTAAAGAATTCATTTTTTTTTTGTTATTAAATATTTAAGAATCATAACATATATATATATATATATATATATATATATATAATTTATATTATTTTCATAGTCTTTTTTCCTTTGCTTCCAAAGAATTTGTTAAAAGTCCATACAACACGCCCACCAACGTTTAAAGTCTAACAACATGCATGTTTAACAAATATAATAGTTTAATTAACTAACGCAGAGCAAATCTTTGAAGGCTTAAAGGCAAAACTATTAAAATCATTTGGTTTGGTTATGATCAAAAGAATTACAACGTCATTACATGTATGTCACCGTGATGCGGAGAAAGTTTGTCATAAAGCACGTGAAGAAAGAAGGAAAGCACGTGTAAGAAACCAAACTCAAGTATTTGGACCAAGTCAATTTCTATTTCTTACAACAATATGCAAAGTTTTCGTTATCCAAATCAGGCACTCTGCCGACTTCGAATGTTCTCGATACCCAATGGCGGACCCAGAAATAAATTTTACCCGGGTCAATATTAAAAAAAAAAAATTTCATAAGCAAATAAAAAAAGAGTATATAAACTGCTGTTATTTTTTAATTTTTTAAAGTATATAAGACAAAAAGATATGCATTTAAGTTAAAATGGAAAAAAAAAAAGACCAAATATGTCATTTGGGATGCTTGAATTCGGGTTTAGATGTGTCAACAACTTGGAAAATACCAACTATGCTGTTGGAACTTTTGTTGCTTACATACACTAAAATATATTTGATTAGTTAACCCAGGTCAGGTGACCCACCTTTCTTGTAAATGGGTCCGCTCCTGTCGATACCCACTTGCATGCAAATACCATCTTAACAGAACTTTTGAGTTTTGACTATTTGAGAAAGAAATTGAGGTTTAAAAAAAAAAAAAAATTCCTTGTTGATGTATTTTTAATCAACACTTCTTTCATTTAATTTTCAAAATAGTTTTATCAATTAGTTATGAAGTAAAGTTGGCAAGTTTATACTTAAAACACTGGTATTTTAAAATTAGAGGAAAATTTTGTAGTAATTTTGCAAACAATGCACAAACTAATGGTATTTTTGCAAAGTCTCCAACATCCTCCCGTTATTGCATATAGTCTATTAAAACATGAATCAATTACTGGATTGGGCTTTATTCCAACATAAATTATCAGATCCGGTTCATTTGCTCATACTTACTGGTTATATATCAACTGAATATATATCAACTGAATTTAAAATATATCATTTTTGTAAACACACTCTGTTCAAAGATTAAACGTATACATTATTTTTATTATCTATCTAATATATAATATAAGTGCTAACGGGAAAGAAAAAAGTTAAGTTTTGCTATTCTGTTCTTGAGGTTGGTCGTTGATGTGTAAAGGCCAATTCAAGAAAAGTATCGCCTACTCACTTCATTCCAAAATAAGAAATTTAAATTTAATTTCTATTTTGTTGAATATTAGTGGTGTAGATAAATTAGGAAATACAACATTACTTTACACTAAATATTTAAAACATAATATATACTAGTGTAACAAACAACAAACTAAAATATTTGAAACTTATTAAAATGGAGAGAGAGAGTATAAATAAGGATATGACATAAAAATGATCCATTGTTTTCTTTTTAATAATGAAGAGGTTCTCGGCTGAAAAATGATAGATTTTTTGTACTATTTTCGTCTCTTTCTTCATCCCACGAAGATCATGTATTGATGATGTAAGACAAGTTTCCATTTCCTGATAATTTAGCAGGATTAGTCACTCGGTTGAATAAACTGGTCATAATGGCATAGATAAAGTTCTTCCAGCTATTGCTCAAGCAATCGGAATTGTCCACAGAAGTGATGATGTTACAAAATAATTTTACCGAATATACTGCACTAGTAATCGCATGATAGGCAGAAATCAAATTAAAAATGCTTTACTTTCCTCATGAAAATTTAACTTCTTTTTTGCCCAAAACATTGAAGTATTAGTGATAAACGAATCATTTGTTAGATATTACTTCTTCCTTTCTTTATTTTTTGAATAAACGCAAAAGTACATGATAGATGAAACTTCTTTACACAAAAAGACACTGTAAATTTAAAGCATATGAATCTAAATTACAAAACATGAACCTGAAATTAAAAGAAGTGAAGAATCAATCAATCTCCACCATGAAAACATAAAAAGCTTGATAGATATGTTGTTCAAACCTAGATAGGGTTCTAATCAAAAGCAGCGATGTTGTCCAAAAACATTGTGTCGTCTGATGGAAATGGGGGAAATTCATTCACCCAAATTTGGTCATAACCCACCAAATAATCATTAATATCGATATCACATTCTTGGTTCATGATATAGTGTGTGACTTTGTCCTCCATGGTAATTACTTGGTGGTCAATCGTTGTGAGCTGAGGCATAACCAATTCAGAAACAACTTGGTCGAACTGGATCATTTTGGAACTGTGTGTATCATCATGACCTACAGAAGCAGTACACACATGTTTTCCCATATACGTGGTTCTGTACACTGGAGGGTTGTCTTTGATCTTCTGCACCCGCTTTGTAGCATTGCAATTTTGGTCTTTTGCATAGGTACACCGATAGTAACACCTGTAAATATAGCACTTTTATCTATCGCCGTTTAAAATAAAGAAATAACCGCTACTCTATTTACATGTCCTTCATAGAACAAAGAAGAGAATTCACTTTCGTTTTTGTAAGAACAGAGCATTTGCTCTGTTTTTCTAGTTAACCTAATTGACTAACCTTTGGTGCGGTGAGGTTTTGATGGTTTTTTGTCCATATTTCCTCCAGGCAAAGCCATCATTGGGACACGGAATCGGGGAATCATCTCTGTAATTCACTAAACCTTGTGCTCCACAAAGTTTTCTGCGATGTTGCACTATAGAAATTATCGAAAATATAGAAGACACTTGCATTTAAACTCAAAATTAAGTTATAGAAGATATGATAAAGTAACATATAGAAAAATGTGCTACTTCACTTCATTTTGGAATTAAAATCTCATGAAACTTTGCATAGAACTAACATATGCAATTTGAGTTTAAATTTTTGCTGGTAACTTACGCCTTAGATGATCTCCATGGCATAGGACTTGCTAATTTTTAAGAAGAATACTCATAGTATGGTGGAGGATTAGGAGAATCCACAAAAGACAGAGCAAGCGAGAAAGAATCGAGAATGGTGTTGATGAGTGGTTCTGTTGAAACTGAGCTTATTTCGCCGTTTTCGAGGAGAATCTTGAGGCTGTTAGCGCATCCTTGTCCACGGAGGAGTGCTTCCATAGCCTTGTGATCAATGTTGGAAACCATTTCTTGTGTTTGAGGTGTTTGGTTTGAACTATAATTTGTGCTTCAGTCTAGTTATGTCTTTTATAAGACAAAAATTCTTGTTCACATTAGATTTTCGGTCTTACGTTTATTACTTTTATTATGTGGAAACCACAATTTTTCGGTGGAGAGAGAATTGAAACTGGCCGACTTGGCCCCATCAATCCTCGCCGATATAATTATTGATATTTCACAAGTCCACAAAGAACACACGACGGACTTATTCTTGAACACCATATAATAATCACATACTAGTAGAAAAATATACATATTTTTAAACGAGCTTTTAGTGATGTGTACATCAATTTTTAATCTACACACTATACTTGATGTCAATACTCAATATGCATAGATTCATATGAGTATTTCATCCAAGGTTTATCTAGTCATTTATACATCTTAGAAGATCTTAAAGAAATAGTTTAATTAATATATGAGGTATCATTGAATTCTCTTAGGATTTTTATTTTAAAAATATGAAATGAACGTGTACGTATTGTTGTTTTTGTACAGAAGATTTTGGGGACTAAAACACTATTTTGTACTTTATACACGATTTTTTCTTTAGACGAAAATGCGGTTCTCCATAATTTTACTATGATTAATCCGTTTTACAAATAATATTCATCAAAAAAATAATTAAAAAAAAAACAGGATGAAACATAGGAAAACTTCCAGAATAATAAAACAAAGAAGGTTTTGTATGTCGACACTCACTAATGGAAGAAAGTACTTAACAAAAATTATAGAAAGGTATTTTATAATAAATATATTAAAATTACTATATGTTTTTTTTTTTCTAACATGCTTTTTTTTATTTAGTTTCTAAATTTTCATTAGAATTATTATAACAACATTATTAATGTCTGTATATATCATTTTGTAGCTTCTAAAATAATTTAATAGTTTAATCCAAAATGTGTGTATAATATAGAAAAATAGTCTTGTATTTGTCAACAAAATTAACATGTACTTTTTTGTTTTTTTGTTTGTTTACAGCCATGTATGTTTTTGTTTTATGCACTTAAAATAAAATAAAAATCAACCACTATTAGAAAGCCACACATGTACGTTCGAAATGACGTATTCAATAATTTATTTTAGCATTTACCCGAAAGTGAGTCAAAGTATTTATTTTAATATTTTCATCACAACTACTTTTATTTGAAGTTTTCGGTGAATGATCAAGATAAGCATTTTATCTTCAAACACTCGTAAACAACACTTGTACCGTAGTCCCGTTAACCCCCAAAGACTTTTTTTTTCTTTCTTTCTTTTTGTTAAAAGACATCGACATGTTGTTTAAGTCCTTGTCGACATTAAGTCATTTGATCTTCCTTTCCTTAAGTGCTGACGAAATAATTTGCTAAAAGAAAGGAAAAAAAAACATATTTTGATCCGTAACCACATGGTGGTGGGCGAGTGGTTCTCGTTTGGTTGGAAGGATCGCCCTGTTGGTCTAGGTCAGGGATCGATCCTCCCCAGACGCAGTTTCGCTCTCTCACTCCTGTGGCCACCTGGGAATTTACCTGCGGACTTGCTCAGGCGCCCCAGACCACCAGTTTATCAGGGGGCCCTTAAGTGGAGGCTTAAAAATCCCTGTGACGCGGGCTTAGGCCCAGTGGGCTAGTCAGATCACTGTGTGGTCTGGATACTGGGTTATCAAAAAATATTTTGATCCGTGTTTATATGAATCCGAGGTTGACCCGACAAAACAAATGAACACGAGTCAAACCCTTATGGTGAAAGAAGTCTTCGAAGTTGGTCGGATCTGACTCGGGTTGGTCTACAGTAAACGCGATTTGAACGATTTTTAATCGCAATTATAGAGAATTCTTGATTTTGGTTAATTATGGAGAATTTAATAGTTTAGGTGGAATTAGGAAGTTTAAAACAAGTATAGGGTGAATTGGGCAGAGGTCGAAAGTACAGGTGGATAGGAGTTGAAACGCTATAGTATAGGTGTAACGCTATAGGCAGCCCATTCTTTTTTTATTAAACAAATACTTCTATTTTGGAATATGAAATTATTATGCGGTTATAGAATTTATTTTAACACATGCATTTTGGTCCTCAAATTTTAGTCCAGCGGGTAAGGGAATAGGTCTAGGATTCGGATGGGATACATGTATTATATTTTTTGTATTTTCCATTTGAGTATTTAATTTTACCCGTACCAAAATTGATAGATATCTAAATTAGTGAGAGTTAAATAATTGAACTCAGCTACCCTGAATTTATGTTACCTTCATATTACCGTAATTATCGCCCGTTCGTGCGAAGATATGTTTGTTAAGATTTAATTTGATGTAGCACTTATAACGTGCATACATACCGGTTTCGATTCAATTTAGAGAGAAGGAGTATTGGAATTGTTTTTGTTATCAGTAAACGCAATTATATAAAAAAAAAATGAGAAAAAGTAGGAAATTCCATTTCGGAACGGAAAACCCTTCTCAACCCAAATCTGTCAGAATTATTCCATCTTATAACCGTTTCTTTTTAAATAATTTACACGTTTGAAATTTTATATTTCAGTTCAACGGGTAAGAGAATAGGTCTAGGATTCGTATGAGATACGTGTATTTCTTGTATTTTTTGTTTGGATATTTAAGTTTTACAAAATTAGTTAAAATGATCCACATGTTCTTTATATATATTTCTCAATTATATCTTAAAAAAACACTCGAATTTTTCGAAACTTTCATCCCAAAATAGACCTTTACCCGGCCCGAAGTTGATAATATCCAAATTAGTGAGATATTAAGAACTGAATTTAGCTACCCAAAATATCTGATACTTTCTTATTATCCGTAATTCATATTCCGTTCGTGCGAAGTTATGTTTATAAACATTTAATTTGGTGTAACATTTATAATCTGTATACATATTGGTTTGGTATTCAGTTTAGTATTCGGTCTAGGTTTAATCCTGTTTATGAATGTTAAAAATGATAATAGTTTTATGTGTATCTTGAAACTAGGATTGACCCAGCGGTCAGACCATGACTGAATGTAAACCGGATTTGAATTTCAAGTATTAAATCACTTTTCTGTTATATCATTTAATTATAGTTTATTTATAAGAAAGATTGTGGCGTACATAATACTTGTTGAGTTGTAACTATGATTTCAATTTATAAATTCAGGTTCATGAGATTGTTATTGAATTTAGTTCATTACTAAACAATCTGTTTTTTTTTTCTTCGTATAAATTGAGTTTAATTTATAGGTTATGTATAGGATGCTTGCATAAAATAATATGAAAATGTTTTTATTCTTAATCATTGTACAATAAATTAAAAACAAATACGATGTAAGACATCGAATGTAATAACCCTGACTATGAGGTCGAAAGTAAATAGCAACAGAATTGGTAGATATATATAATATCAATGTGCTAAATTTGCAAGTATTCACACATATAATCTAGTTGGATATATGAAGAGTCGAATCTCGAATGAGTCAAATGATTTTAAATTGTTGGAAACGAAAAAAGAACAAAAGAAGGCTAAATTCAAATTGAAACCCATTAAACACATAATTTAGAACCAAACATATTGTAGTTTGAGGTCTTAAAAAGCCCATTTATCATTTAGACCCAAAGAAGAAAGCTTAATCGGGGAGGGGAGAAGTCATCTTCAACATCAAGGACATCATCGAGACATGCAGATTCAATGTGACCTCCGAATCCGAAATTTAGATCATCGTTCTTACTAAGATGATCATAATACCGTTTGACATTTGACAATACTTGCCTTGGTGATACCAAATATAGAGAGACTCGAAAAATCATAAGGTACAAATGCTTCTTTTTCGTGCAATTATAGGGAAGTTCTTAGATTGAGACTCGAAAATATTTATTGTCTACTTACATATTCATCTGCTAATTTTTTTTTCAAATTTTCTACATAATGTGAACTGTGTTATTTCACAGGATCTGGACCTAGATGCAATATAAATTTATAAATCAAAAGATAAGACTTACGCTGTCAATGAGTTCTTCAATATTCCTTGATCCATGATGTCTCTTTGTTTCCTTGTGTTTATAGTGATCTGTTGACCTGTAAAGGAAAACAACTTTATAAATTTAAGTGTTGTTTCGTATTAGAGAAACGATAATACTCATATATATAAGCATGAAATTAGCATAACCTTCCATCTTAATCTTCAATTCTCAGTAGGTGACATAATCATGTTTCATAGTGACTTCAATTTTATATATCTCCTTAAGTAGAAAAAAAAGATATAACTAACACACAAACCTTCTAAATTGTTTCACCTTGAATTTCTTTTTTGCTTCCAGATTCCCAATACACAGGCTCATTGAATCAGACTCTTTGGATGAGACTCTTTGGATGAAGATCTGAAACAAACCATCAAGTCAAGACATGTGAAAATAAACAAAATAAAAGGTATTCAAATTCATCTATATAAATTAATTAGAAAAATCGACTTGTCAATAGAAGCAATATTTATACAAAAAAAATTAATCTATAAACGATTTAAGTATAAAGAAAATATCTCTCATCATTAAAATGTGTATTTAGATATAGAATTTTTTTTCTTAATAGGTATGGTTCCTACAAT